GAGTTCGCGCCACCCTCGGGCCCCGCTGCATGGCAGCGGGGGGAATGAGGGCGTGGGTTGGTGCCGCCCAGCCCGCCAGCACCTCGGGGGCGGGGCGTTCGGGCTGGGGGCGTTGCCTGGCGCGCCCCAAGAAAAGTGTGCCTCTCGCGGGGCGGGCGCCACTCTGGGAACTCGGACGGCGGCTTCCTTGGGACTGGATGAGACGGGCCTCGAGGATAAGTGCTCTGCTATATTTCTCCAAGGGGCAGGGGTCCACCCCAGCTGTCGTTGACGGCCTGCGGGAGGCCCGGCTGGAGGGATCGCTGGAAGCCTTCCGGGGAATAGGGTGCCAGGCCGCCGTCTGCGCAGTCCACCCGCGCCACCGCGGGGGCCGATGCGCGCGGACCCGAAGGCTGCTGATCGCGCGGGGGAGGGAGGGCGGTGGTTGGGGGGGATTGCCTCCTGCAGAGGCTTGGCGGCGCTTTTCAGGAAACCGCACCCCCGTAGAGGTTGCCGCGTCGCCCCCCGGAGCGGCGGGCGACGACCTGCACCTGGCGTGCGACGATGGCCAAATTATCCGGCGAGGGCGCGGCCCATCGGGGCGATGCGGGATTCCTGCGGCGCACCTGGGCCCGCCCGATTTACAGCTTCGATGGCCTTGGCGTGGCCCGGCCAGCCGCCGAGAGGAACTCGCCCAACGTCGCAGATGTGAATGCTTGCGCGGGCGGCATCCGCCCGGCATTGCCCCGCGGCCAGCCCCCCCCCCATGATCTGGCGCAGGGCTCCGGACCGGCCCGCGGGCGCGCCGGGGCGCCGCGGGCGATGTTGCCTCCGACTGCCGCGCGCATTTAGACGAGCGAGCGCGGTGCGCTCTCGCGGACAGCGCAGCAATCTGGGCTGCAGACTGGCCCATGTCAATTTCCTACATCGCCGACATCGCGAGGGGCTGCCAGTCGTGACTTGCCTCGCGTGCGCTGAATAGGATCCTTCGCTTCGCTCAATCCTCGGCTTGTTTCAGCTCCTTTCGCTTCGCTCAATCCTCGGCTGATTTCAACTTCTTTCGCGTTCGCTGCGCCTCGCAACGCCGCCAGGCGGCATCAGAGTCGCCCGCGCCCCCATGCCATTCCAAGGGAAACGCTCCGACGGCACCTTCGAGAGCATCATCAGTTCAGAATAGTCCGTAGTCTGCACGGCGCACGTGGCGAATAACTACGGGTCGTTCAAGGCGTCTGGATCGTAGCCCCAGCCAGTCCAGGCTGGATCTTCCCTTGCGAGTTCGCTATCTCCGCGATGCACGCGATCGTTGAGGACCAGATCTCACTCTGGAGCTTGACACCGAGCCCGCGTTAGCCTTCCCGCCGCTCGCTTGCCCCGCCGACGCGCCCCAGCCCGAGCTCCCCGAGGTTGTTACGTGGACCGCTGCCGTTGGTAAAGGACATGAGTACCCCTCTGACACTGCGGTGGACCATGGTGGGATGGATGAGCTTCACATGTCCGCTGACGCTCCCGGGGCCTCCCCATGTCCGAAGACGACCTGGTGTCCTACTCAAAGTTCAGCGGCACCTTCGAAGGCGCAGCTCCCCCCCGCTGGCGCCTCGTCCGACGGGTCGCACTTCGGCCAGCGCGCCCCCCGTGGTCTGTCGCTGTCGGCCAGCAGACAGCTCATCAGACCCACATTCGCTGGGCGAGGATAGAGATGTTTAGCGGTGGATTTGCGAGGCAGCCTGTGGTGTAGGCTCTTCTGGTGGTCCTCCTGTGGCGCATTCTGCGGTTGCGCGCATTTTTTGCGAGGCGGGCCAGACTGGTCCTGCACGCCCTTTCCTGCTAGTCATGGCTCTGATCACGCCCCCCACTTTTCCTAATGTTGGCGCGGGTGGCCGCCGTGGCGAACGTCGCCCACCTTTCGAAGCTTATGGGCCAGGTGTTGGTGGCGAGAGATCCCCTTGCCTGGATGACCACGCTGACTCGCGTGAGTCTTGCTTGGGCTCAGTCGTGTGCGAATACCAAACTGCCCACCACGACGGATGCGATGCGGTGACTTCCATGGATCCCCTTCCCCCATCTTTCGCCCTTCGAAGGTGGATCGGTGAAACAAGTGGCTATGACGATTGCACTGCGGCTCTAAATGCCACAACGATTGGCGTGCATCGATATGGCGGTGAGGTTCCTTTCCATGACTACGACCCGCATGGTGGTCATGGCGGAGACCTTGCCAACTATGGGGACGATCTCACAGTCCACAACGAGGGGGGCCATGCCGAACAGCGACCTGGAACTATTCGCCTCTATGGGCGGGCCCATGGCTGCTCACGCTGCTGGTGACGTTCCTGATGCTGGTGCCGCCGATGCAGCTGCCGCTTTTCTTGCTGCGCCTGCTCACCCGCCGATTTCGGCGCATGAGCAAGGCGACATCGTGCAGCACATGGTCTCCGACATCTGCATGGCCTCCGTTGTCCACCTACCAGGTGGCTCACCATCCAGTTGTTATCGGCTTTGCGTGCGGCGTACCTTTTTTTTGTGATTGGCAGTGGCCATGCGCAGCTCCTCGGCTTTATTCCGTATAGCGGCAGCACTGACTGTGCTGGTGGTATCACCACATCTTCGACCGCGACGCAAACTTCCTCTTCGCCCCGCGGGGCCCGTGGCGGCGGTCGAAATCAGGGGCGCGATCGCGCCGCTGACGCTCGCTCGCTCGCTCGCTCCTCCTCCTCCTCCTCCTATTCCCCCTCCCCCCTTCTCACCATCATCATCCTCATCAGCACCATCATCATCGTCATCCTTATCGTTATCATCGTCATCGTCAGCATCCTCATCATCATCCCCCTTCTGCTCCTCTCTTTCCTTCTTTCCCCTTCTTCTCCCCCTCCCCCCTCCCCCCTGGATGACCAACTACCTCCTCGGTGTCAATGCCCGCCGGCGGCGCTGGGCTGAACTCCTACCTGCCTGGCGTCAACGGGAGGCCCGCGCACGACCAAGGCGCGGCCAAGTGACAGTTTGGGAAGGGTCTCCTCCTCCTCGACGGTGTTCGCCCACTTTTCGGCCCCATCTTCCTCCCCGTCCTCTTCCTCCTCTTCCTCCTCCTTTTATTGGGGGTTTCTCCTTTTTTTCTCTCCAGGGCTTCCGAACCCTGGGGACCTCGAGGTCTTCCCCGACGCGCGTGGCGGTCGCAAGCTGCGTCGCCGTTCGGCGTAGAGGCACGGCCCGCGCAGAGGCGCACCCACTGGGTCGTGCCCGCGGGTATCGTTTTCACTCTGTGACGCTGGCGGGCGCGCGTGCTGTACTCATAAGCGACACCCCAGGGTAAGAGTTTTATGGGTCGACGACTTCCAGGAGGCATGTGGGAGCCTCCGCGGAGGTCCCCCGATGGAGGGGACGGTGGGACTGGAAGGCCACAGAGGCCGAGAGGGGAACGACGCAGAGGAAGTAGGACCAGCCCCCTGTGTGCAACCCCTCTTCGGAATTGGGTTTGAGCCGAGGGGCCGCCGAGGGGCCCAGCCCCCCTCTGACCTTACCCTGCCGCGAGTGGAGGAGAGGAGTGGGGAGGACTGGGGGGGAGAGGGAGGTCAGGGGGTATCTCCTGATCCTTTTCATGATCTTCCTCATCTATCCTCACCCCTATCTTCTCCTTTCCATTATCCTGCCCTGTTCCAGAAATTCGTCGTCGTCCTCGTTGCTGTCGCCGTCATACATGCTAGCACTCGTGGTCGTCATCACCATTGCACTCGTCCTCGTCCTTGTCGTCGCCCTCGTCTCCGCCCCCTTTTCACCCTCGTCGTCGTCGTCCTCCGTTTCCTCATCGTCGTCTTCGTCTTCGTCTTCCTCGTCCTCTTCAATGTCACCGTCGGCTGTTGTACTCACCATCCTGCTAATCATCCTGGTCCTCAGTCTCCTCATCCTCGGGGTCCTCCTCTGATTAGTCCTCATCCTATGATCTTGTCGCCGACCCTCTGCCACAGAACCTCCTCCCCTTGGATCTTTCTCCTCTTCACCACCTCTTCCTCTTCCTGCTGCTGATGCTCCTTCTCCTTCTCCTCCTCCTCCTCATTCTTCTCCTCATCCTACCTCCTCTCTCGTCATCATCACCGTCATCGTCATGGTCATCAACATTAGCATCATCACAATCATCACCTTCATCATCGCCATCGTCATGGTCATCAGCATCATCAACACCACCACCACCATCACCACAAACACCAACATCATGAGCTTACTCTACATTTCCATATACATATCCACCATCATCATCATCATCATCATCATCAGCATCATCATCATCTTCACCACCGTAATCACCATCGTAGAAAGCATCGTCGTCATCATCATCATCGCCGTCGTCGTCGTCGTCGCCATCGTCATCGTCAGCTTTACCATCACCATAATCACCATCATCATCCTCTTCCTCATCATCGGCATCATCATCACTTTGTCGCCATAATCGTCATCATTGCCATCATCCGCATCACCACCATCAGCATCATCTTCAACATCATCACCAACATCATCATCATCGTCCTACTCATTATCATTATCAGTATCATCATCATCGTCATAACCATCATCGTCATCATCATCATCATCTTCACCAGCATCATCATCATCGTCATCATCATCGTCATCGTCTTCGTCATCGTCGACGTCATCGTCATCATCATCAACATCATCATCATCATCATCGTCATCATCATCCTCATCATCATCATCGTCATCATCATCCTCATCATCATCGTCATCATCGTCATCATAATCATCTTCATTGTCCTCCTCCCCGATCTCTTCCTCTCGCCCCTCCCCATCCTCCCTCCCGCTCCTCCTCACTCCTCCCCCAGAGTTTGTGTAGGCCATCCCTGGCATCCCTGGCGCCCCTCCACACACAGCCCAGGAGGAGGAGGAGGAGGAGGAGGAGGAGGAGGAGGAGGAGGAGGAGGAGGAGGAGGAGGAGCGGGAGGAGAACGGCAGAGGGCGAGACGTGACGTGAAAGAAGGAGACGGCGAGGGAGGAGGAGGATCTGGCCGCCGCCCGAG